TGATTACCAGGCTCACGTAATTGTTAGATGTTTTGGCAGATTTTAAATAATTCATATTGACCCATCTGTGAAAGACTCGGCGCCTCGGTGGGATTCGAACCCACGACAGCAAGAGGAAGGCTTTAGTATACAGTGCATGACCTATCTCATGAAATGTTGGCTGAAATTCTGAAATGCGTTTCCGATTACGAAGGCTTACTTGGTCGCGGTTGTAACACTGATTATCATAAGGCATGCTCTTGTAAGAGACAAACCCACTAGTTGGGCACAGCGAGTAGGCTATCCAGGATACGAAAATAGCAGTGTCCCAACAGTTACAAACTAGTAAATAAGAACAAAGTCGTCGGCAGGTAAAAGTGCACGTGCGTGTTGTTTGTCTTATTCAAAGTTGTATCGAAGCGTATTGTAACTGATTAAAACAAAACAGACTTAAATGTCACTACAATACTCCCCCTCCTAGGAGAACGGAGTTCAAAAAAAATATTGTTAATAGAAGGAAAATGTGGGAGTGTTATGCATATTGCACAAGTTGGTAACGGTCGGGAAAACGGACATGACGACCACTGCGCGTAAGGGGAGGAGTCTGTGGGATAAGGGAAGACGCAGGGTTATTGGGCGTAAATGGAGTCTGGGAAATAGCAAGTGGCAATGTGCCAAGTGGAGGTTGTTCGATTGGAGAAGTTGGAAGAGGCTCGGTATATGCCGCCTTCAAGCGATCGATTGAAACCACGTCGGTGCGGCCTCCACGATCAATTGTAAAGTACTTGTCCTTGCGCGATAGTACTCGAAATGGGCCGTCATAGGGCTGTTGTAGTGGCCGGCGAACGCTATCTATGCGGACAAATACAAAAGAACATGTTAGTAAGTTTGGGTCGACGTATGACTTACTTGTTGAAGGACGTGGAGGAGTGGCTCGAAGATGAGTCATGGCTTGGCGCAATCTTTGCACATAATCGCTGGGATCCAAGTCGGCTGAGCTTTGAGAGTACCCGAAAAAATCACCTGGAATCCGTAGGGTAGTACCGTACACAAGTTCGGCAGCGGAACACTCCAAGTCGGGCTTGAGTGCGGTACGGATACCGAGCATGACCAAAGGCAGATGCTCGCTCCAATGGGAAGGGTTGTCATGAGCTCGAAGCGAGGCTTTGAGTTGCCGGTGGAAACGCTCGACTAAACCGTTGGATGAGGGGTGGTATGCTGTCGTGCGTATGCGAGAACATCCGAGGAGGTTGGTAAGGCTGTTAAACAGTCTAGACTCGAATTGTTGACCTCGATCGGTGGTAATGGTTGAGGGGACGCCATAATGAGAAATCCAGTGTTCCAAAAAAGCATGAGCAACGGAATCTGCAGTTATGTTAGGTATGGGAGTTGCAATGGGCCAACGAGTAAATCGGTCAATCGCAGTAAGTAAGTAGTTGCAACCACGAGATGTTGGAAAGGGACCTACCAGATCGATATGGACATGTGAAAAACGTGCGTCGGGTGCGAGAAAAGTGCCAATGGGGGCTTTGTTGTGCCGTCCGACTTTGGCCTTCTGACAGGCCAAACATGAACGGGTCCACTGGCGTATATCAGTGTTCATGCTTGGCCAAACGAACCGCTCGCTGACGAGGCGCTGGGTAGTGCGGATGCCAGGGTGAGCTAGATTGTGCAACGCGGCAAAAACATCTCGTCTCATCTCGCTTGGCACTACGGGTCGGGAGGCACCGCGCGATACGTCACACAAGATTGTACCGGGGGTGGTGGAAAGAGGAATGGCTTCGAGTTGAAGACTAGTGTGTTGAAGGCTCTCACTGAAAGACGGCTGATTTTGCAGTTCTGCCATGCGCTCCAAATCGATGGAAGGGCGGGTGATGGCATTAATGCCAGGCCGAGAAAGACAGTCAGCAACTTGATTATAAAGGCCTTTAAGAAATCGAATGTCGGTGGTATACTG